TGATCATGAGCAGGGCAGCTCGGGTTGGTCGGTGGGCACAAAATGACCAGCTCGATACACTACAAAGTTGGTAACTTGATGTTATACAGAATATTCAGCATCTTACTTGGAAGAAGCTGAACATCCCGCTCTCTGATAGGTGGCACTGCGGAATTTACCAATCGAGATTCCGCTATCATCTGAGGGGAAATGCCGCCATCAACCAAGGTCCGGGGAGTCGAACGAATCGGAGTGCATACCGGAACGTTGGTTCGGCAATGAACTCACCTCATACTCATAGCGGGGAGCGTTGGTGAAAGACTGACGGCCCGGCCACTCCATCGCATCCGCCACGTGCTCGTAGCCAATCCAGTTACAGATGAAATCTTGATCTCCGTCATACAAAAGAACCTTAGAGAGTCATGTAGAGCTTATTGAGCTCAGCTCAAACGATGAACTTGTCATGAATAAATCATAGTAGCGTACTGGCAGCATAATGAAATGATAGTTCCAAAAGACGACGACGGTTTTCCTAGAGGCAACAAATTGAAGGCACCAATGGGACCAACTTCACTCATGCCGACGGAATTGACGGTTTCGGGAACGAACTAGTTATCCGACAGAAGTATTTCGGAGAGCCTCAAGTTCAGGCCCTAAACTATCCATACAGTAAAGCCAACAGTGACTGTTGAGCAGTCACTCACGCACCACAAGACGACAAGTTAGATGCTACTACTAGTAGCCTACTAGTAGTAACCTACTACACTCTTTGTATAATATACATAGTGCGATATTATCGCACTTTCAATTTGAATAATTCAAGTCAAACACTCGGCAAGCACTCAAAACGTGACATCGCGTGGGACTCACTCTGACTCCGGCATCAAGCAAGTCGGGTAGAAGTGTCTCGAATGGCATGATCGTATCAATACCGAAGTCCCCCGCCTAACTCAATCACTGAACGTGAGGTGCCACATACATGACGCTCACTTTAGAGCAAGTCTCGAATCTCTTGTTTACTCCAAGCTTCCTCTGCACATCCCTCCTGTTCAGATACTTTACGAACTGAGTCGAATTTTTCAAGAGGCTGAGTTACAACTGATGCCATCGCATTCATCGGCAATGATTCATGTCTGGTAATAACTCACGCTGAAGTCAAGTCCATCTGGGCTACCATTAGTGTGAGTAATCCTCATGTCGTATCTGAAATATGGCCGATCACGCGGTCACTTGAACAACGGCATACACGTCGATGCCTCGTCTGTTCAAGGGGGCAAATACGGCGGGATCATCGATACAAGCTTTAGCATACCCACAGGAAGAGCCTGACATGAGAGATCCCTCTCTCTGGAGAACCCTTTCCTACGGGAGCCTGACAGACACTTTCTTATTTCACTCGAGCATTGCCATGCTGCTCCAGTCTGCGCCACGTATCTGATTAATGATCCAGTCAAACTGCCTTTAATATCAACTCTTTAATCGTACTCTTTGTAGTGCGATGTGGGGAGCAGTACAGCTTTCGAGCCATATGGGGTATCGAGACTCTGGAGGAGCATACGACATATGATATCTTCACG